AGGCCCCACAGCGCACCCTTCTGTTGGTTTTTGGGCTAACTGGGTTAGCTTTGAGGCTTCAGGCTTAAGGTTTGAGGCCAAAGGGTTTAGAGTCATAACTGTTTACGTAGTGGTAAGGGAGAATGGGCGTGGGGGAGTGCATCCTCGGTGCACCCCTGTTCTGGCAGGTATATTCACTCCCCACTCCCCCCTCAAGCACTCGTAAGAAACGGATAGCCAGACCTCATCCAGAACCCCTTAAATCCCCGCTTGCCTAAACACCCAAAACCATCCCTAAACCGCCTGAGCCTTTATCACCATGCCTTGAAAACCCAAGACAAGAGGTACACGCTGACCCTGCCCGGGGTTCAGAAGAAATGGCAAACAACTTACCACTGTACTTATAACTTATAGCCCAGGTATCAGCCCCTAGCCTAATAGCCCCTAATATGACAACAACTGGGTCATAAGTGCCAGATTTAATTCTGTCCCCCTAACATTAAGCCCCCAAACGAATTGAACATGCCCATGATCGTCGTATATTATACGTGCATGGGGACTACATCACGGAGGGTGGGTGGGAGTTAGTATGAGGGAGACAGGAGTAATGCCTTTGAACTTCCAAGCAAGCTGGCAGGAGTACGACCTCCGCCGCAAGCAGCGTGAGGCGGGCCCGCTCCCTGTCACATGAGTAGTATTTTATTTGGGGATACTATGGTACCCAATATAGAGTAAGATTCTATCCTCCTTTTGGGTATGGTATTTTATATAAGGAATATAATCTTACTGGTTTAAGCATAAAAAAAAGACGCTACTCACATGATCTACTGTCAGCATGTTGATTCCCAGGGGACGGACCATTCAGGGTTTAGGGCTTAGGGTTACCAAGGGACGATTGAATAAGGGTTTAGGGTGTAGGGATTAGGGCTTAGGGTTTGCCAAGGAATCATTAAGGGTGGACATGGGAAGCCGTTTGGTAGTTAGTTTAGACCATAATTCGTTCCCCAATAAGGATCCATGTCCATTAGTTATATGGGAAATATTGATTGTAGCTCACACGATCCAGGTCACTGGATGAGTGATCAGGAGCGGAGGTTGGGGCTGGCAGATTTGGGTACCGGGACCTTAAAAAACACCAATGGAATTTGGAGGTGTCTTCGAGGTGCCATACGCATAAGTATACAAGGAATATAAGGCCATAGTATTGGTAATCTATTCGGGCTTCTACCGTATAGGCTTTGGGATTTGGACAGTTTTGGGTCTTTGCGAAAATTGATGCGTCAGGAGTTGATTGTTGGGCTCAGTGGCGTGGACTTTGGGTTTCACGATGTGGCTTCCATTCAGTGTTATTCACAATAGTACTACCTAATTGCTGTCGGGCTGGATTTTTGCGCATAGACTTGTGAGAAACCGCTCAAAAAGCTTCTTGTTGCAAGGCTTACTGCAAGCAAACCAGAACGCTACAGCGCCTGTCTCGACAGTCTTTAGTCTTAGCTCTCATCAACCTGAACCTGAAGCAAATACCCTAAACCAGTACTCCCTAAACCCTAAACCCTCAACCCTAAACCCTAACCCCCTAAACCCCTAAGCCCCTAACCCAAGGGTCATACGCTCGCGACTCCAGAGCTCTAAGGCTTCCTCACTTGGAGCTCCGACCCAAACAAAGCCGACGGTACACCCAAAGGGTTTAGGGTTTAGGGTTCAGGGTTTAGGGTTTAGGGTTCTCTAGATCCAAAATCTAAAAAAGCAGAAAGCCTCTGAACCCAATCGCCTTCTTGTTGCCCATTCAGTCCCAGATTGCCTTTACACCCCGAAGCCTCCCATGCCCTACCCTCCCCCCAAACTAGCATGGAAAACCAGAGCTCCCTTTTTCAAGGATTGCTTTGGAGCTTCCACGTCAGTTTGGGACAGCCCTAAACCCTAAACTCCAAGCTTTCATACCCCAAACCCTGCAACGCAAAAAGCCTGCAACAACGGAAGAGGCCGACAAGCTCGACGACCAGCCGTATGTGGCGGAGATCACCCTCATTGCTCCTCCGTCTTCATATGGGGCTTATGGTTTGGGGGTTAGGGTTCAGAGTTTAGGCCCTAAACCCTAAACCCTAAACTGGGACTGGGGGGGGGAAAGGTCCGGGGGTTGAGGAGTAAGGATTCGAAGGTCCCGCGTCTTCGCGGTTCAGGCTTCAGACTGGGATGCAAATTGAGGCCCCGAATCGTGAATCCCGATGTTATGCCCACACAAGCATGAAAAGTTGCTGAGGTTGGGGGCTGTGAGCGTGTGCGTTTTGGGTGCAGCTTCAATGAGCCCTTACACATCAGTATAGTCTCCTTAGAGTTTAGGGCTGGGGCTGTGGATTTTTATATAGGATAACGATAAGGAGTTATTCAAAGCTAGCTTTTTGTTATAGGTCTAGCGGAGTTACAGAATATTCATGAACATTGCCGTGGACTAATAGATGCCTATTGTAGACCCTACGTGATTTCCAATAGCATTTATAGTTCCTTCCATTGTCTTTTCCATCCCCTGCCTTAACGCTGAACCCCATTTTCTTGTCAGTTCTTTGATTCCCTAAACACGGAACCCTAATCCCCATACCCTAAACCCTAAGCCCTAACACCAGCAAATTGAGCCCAAACCCTGAAGCCTATATATCCCGATAAACCTCAGCTGTTTTCCATTTGCTTTTCCACTTGACTTCCCATCCCAACCAAAAAGTTAAGGCCTAAACCCTAGAAATTAAACCGTAGACCCTCAAATTTGACCCTTACAAATTAGACTTAGACATAAACTTACAACCCAGAACTTGAAACCTAGACCCAAAAAGGTGGATAACCAGCGAGCTTAGCCTCAGGAGCAGACGATCAAGTTCTGCCAAAGCCTGGTGCAGTCCAAGGCCCGGCGCACGATCAATCCGCCCCCTCTGGTGGTAAGGGTTTAGGGTTTAAGGTTTAGGAGGGTTAGGGAACTTAGTTTAAGTAACTTTAAGGGGGAAACCCTACTAATTACTATATAATGTATATATATATATATATTCACCGGTTCTGGTAACTTAATTTAAGTTCCTTAACGGCAAGCCAGTAAGGGAAGGGGAGGGGGTGTGGGGAAGTTGGGGCTAAGAGCTGGGGGTTTCAGACAACCCCCGTAATATCAAACACTCCCAACATAGCCATAACACATTCATGTTTGCGAAGATGCTATTTATCATGAAGGGGTGGGGTGGTTTATTGTTTCTTGAGGAAGGAGATGATTCTGAATCCCATGGTCAAGGCCTCTCTAATGCTGAGCTGAGCTTTTGTTGAAGGTGTATGCATCAATGCTGATGTTGAAACATGTTCTACTACACCCTACACACTATGTCCATTTTCGGGCTTAAGGTTCGAATCTCCGTGTTCGAGACTGTGAGGTCAGGTGTTTATAACCTACAGTGTGTAGGGTGCTGTGTGCTTTTGAGTTGTTGGCTGCTTGTCCAGGGTGTTGGATTTAGGGTCTGGGCCTGGGGGCCTTTGGATTGTTGGCAGGTGGTTCAGGACGTCATGAATGTAGACCCCTAAATCATAAACCCCCTCCCCTTAACAGGAGTTATAATGGGGCTCCTAACATTACGGCCCTCAAAAGGAGGGGGTTTATCAATCACGGGCTTACATTAGGGTTGAAGGTCCAGGGCTTTAGCCTAAGCCTTGATTGCATGGCTTAGGGCTTTGAACGAATGCCGGCAGTTAGGTAACTGGCTCATTTTCCCTGGTCTTCAGCACTCCCCCACACCGAACGGTAGTAGTGTAGATGTGCCTGGGTTTAGGGTTTAGGGTTACGAGTTTAGGATTTAGGGTGGTAGCTCATCAATATGAGAGACATATTCCATTGTCAGGGGGGCTGGTTCAAGCTGCCTGGTGTCTGTGTCTGGCTGCAAGAACATCAGATGGCCCCTGATTCCTCAGAAGGACCTAAGTGTAGACGTATGTGCTATACGTTTGTAGAATCATGTATCTATGTGTATATATACATGTATGTAAATGCAGACGTAATTTTCGATTTGTGGATGTGCATTCCCTGAACCTGAAGTTACTTTGGATCAGCGTAGTTCTGCGTTTTGAACGGAGTGAGGGGAATGTGACAAACTATTTCTTTGCAAGTTCAATTACTACTCACCCCAGATTTTTTCATCTTGGGGTCTCCTTATTAGAACGGAACATGAGGAAAAATGGTACCCTTATGATTTAGGGGTTGCTGGGTGAACCTAGTTACCAACCCGTGGAGGTGCAAAAGGATGTTTCTCTGGTGCAACCCCACCCCCATAGCCCGAGGTCCCGTGTTGCTATGTACTCCCTACATGAGGTAGGATTTCATTAGTCATGGGTGTTTGGATGTGAGTGTGTCATATACAGGTTGCATATGGTGGGTGTTCTTTTGGGTGGACCCCGCCCCTACAGCTCCCACCTAATATGTCCCCAGGGTCTTCCGCCAACCATCTTCACGGCAATGCCGCACACCAAAAAATCTACGGGCTCCTAGAAGCAGCGGATGAAGTTCATACAGAATCCTTATCAACACCAGATTATGTTGCACTGGGTGGGACTTTACTACAATTTTCTCACCGCACAGCTGTTCAAGTTCCTCTATTTAATTCTAAGGGAGCTCAAAGTTAGGCTTGTCGGGGGGATGACAGAGCAACCAGGTACAGCGACAGTCACACTTGAACCTTTCCCCCGAATCCGGTCCTTTATCCTGAAGTTGAAACAGGTGGCAGAGAAGAAGGACGAGAAGAAGGAGGTCGTGCACAACCAGCCGGACGACTGCGAGATCCTCGTGCGCAAAGAGGCTGTCACCGTGTGACTTGAAAGGGTTTGGGTTTAGGGTCATTTTGTAGTGGGGGTCCGTAGTCCCCATAGGGTGAATCTATGGGTTTGCGTCTAGGGTCTTTTTGATTCTGATTTGGTTCAACCTCTTAGCAAAACCCTCGTTCGTCTTTCTACAGGTTGAGGGGTTAGACGCTTTTGGCTGCCTGACACGTGACACTTGGATTTACTGGCTGGTGGTTTAGTGGGGAATGAAGGAACAGGATATAGGGACTATTATATGGGATTCTGCGGCGACTACTGTAGTGACTCATTTCTCCACCTACACCACCAGCAAGTACATGCGTACATCTATCTATAGGTATATATATATATATATTCATACAATGTATACATCGGCTTCACCAGTACAGGGCATGGCATATCGGGGTGTCCTAAACCGGGATAGGATTTGGGGTTGGACTGCCTAAACCCCAAACCCAGCCATTATGGTGTCTTGTAAGGCTTCATACTACAAGGTGTCACGAAACTCAAGGTCCTCTTGGTGCGAAATGAACCTGAGTCTGATTGGGTATGCCCCTTCTGCGAGCTTCTTCTTGCTCAGTGCATCATATATTGGGGATTTTCACGAAGCTGAAAGAACCGCCACAGCCATAGTGTAAAATACCCCCCAGACCTTATTCGAGTCCAGGAGGCTCCTTTTTTAGATGGTCTGGCGCCCATTTTTTCTCAATCTGCTGGACCTTGTTTGGACGTTCCTAGGAGGGAGGCTCCATCGTTTTGGCGAGGGGGACCCCGGCAATTTTCAGATATGCCTTGGGTGGGCCCCCCACCCGGTAATAGTGATTATAAGGGATAATAAGGAGTGTACTATTACAGGGTGGGGGTACTCGAATATTAATTGTAAACGCTAGCGCGCGCCCACCTCGGCTGGCGGGGCTTCCCAATGTAGCAACATGTACTTATAGATATACAGGTATTTAAGTTAGGTATTTAGATACAGTCATATGCCTATTACATACACAAGAAAACCCGAGAAGTCCAACTAGGGACGCACAAGTAGGACCCAGGAAACCGGTGGGGAAAATGTTCGGGGCCAGCGTTCGGACCTTGGGTTTATGGTTCCGTCTTGCGGGTTGATAGGCGTTCTTAGGGTTTGGGGATTTAGGGTTTAAGGTTTATGG